TTCTGTCTCTGACCCAAGAGATAGGTTGCCTCCTTGAACCACTGCCGTCCCCGTGCTTCCTACAGTGAGGAAGCAGGCCATTTGGCCCATCGAGCCCACACTGACTCCCTCTGAACAGTATCCCACCCAGACTCTTCCCTACTCTATCTTATCCCTGTATTTCCCACCCTAGACACTTTGGGCAATTTAGCATGGCCAATCCACTTAGCCTGCACATCTTTGGACTGTGGGAGGAAACCGGAGCACCCAGAGGAAATCCACACAGACACGGGGAGAATGTGGAAACACCACACAGACAGTTGCCCAAGGGTGGAATCAAACTCAGGTCCCTGGCGCTGTGAGGCAGCCATGCTAACCACTGAGCCACCGTGCCGCCATATCTGTATCTAACCGCGTGGCTTTCCTGGACCATGCCAGAGGGCAGTTACGAGAAAACGTCATTGCTGTGGATCTGGAGTCATGTGTAGGCCAGACCAGGTGAGCTTGGCAGATTTCCTTCCCTAAAGGAGGTTAGATCCCACTCGGGATACTGAACATGCATCTGGACATCACAGGATGTGTTGGCCTGGGAGGGAGCACAACGTGGGTTTTCGAGAATAAGTGCAGCGACTTTCACCTGGTGGTTTCTGGAGTGAAGGGATTATCCTGTGGTGAGGCTGGGGAGACCAGACCTATATTTCCTGGAGTTCAGCAGAGTGGGAGATGATGCACTGATAAACTGGGTGAATGGGCAAAACTGTGGCAGATGGAGTTCAACATCAGCAAGTGTGAGTTTATCCATTTTGGACCAAAAAAGGATAGATAAGGGCACTTCTAGATGGTATGAAGTTAAATACAGTGGATGTCCAAAGAGACTTGGGGGTTCAGGGGCACAAGTGTTTAAAATGTCACAAACACTGGTGTATAAAGATGCAGAAGTTGTACTGCAGTTACACAACACCCTGGGTGGGCTCCACATGGAGTACTGATCACAGCTCTAGGCACCAGGAAGGACAGAATAACCTGGGAGGGAGCACAATGTAGGTTTACAAAAATAATATTTGGACTTCAGAGGTTAAGCTATTAGGTGAGATTACACTAATTAGGCCTGTTTTCTCTCGAATTTAGAAGGTATGGGGGGGATCTGATCGAAGTTTTCAAGAAAGTCATGTTGAGGTTATATAGGACATTGATGAGGCCTCTTCTGGAATACTGTGTCCAATTGTGGTCACTTTGCTGTTGAAAGATTATTATTAAACTGGTGAAGGCTCAGAAAAGATTTAACAGGTTGTTACCAGGAATGGAGGGTTTGAGTTACAAGGAGATGCTGGATAGCTGGGACTTTTTCCACTGGAGCATAGGAGTTTAAGGACTGTCCGTATAGAAGTTTATAAAATCATGAGGGGTACAGATAAGATGAATGGCAGGTGTCATTTCCCCAGGGTGGGGGATTTCATGACTGGGGGACACATGTTTAAGGTGAAAGGAGAAAGATTTAAAAAGGATGAGAGGGGCAACTTTTTTTCCCCCAGAGCGGTTCGTGTGTGGAATGAGCTTCAAGAGGAAGTGGTGGATAGGGGTACAGTTAGAACTTTTAAAAGATATTTGAATAAGTACATGAATAAGAAATGTTTGCAGGGATATGGGTGAAGTGCAGGTAGGTGGGACTAGTTTAGTTTGTGAAACTTGGTCAGCATTGACTGGTTGGACCGAAGGGTCTGTTTCAGTGCTATATGACACTATACTAACAAAAAAGACAGTGTCAATAAAGATAAACTATTTCCATTTGTTGGGAATTCTAGAACTAGAGGCATAGTCTGAGAATGAGCGCCAGACCTTTGAGGAGAGATGTAAGGGAGCACTTTGACACACAAAGGTTTAGAACTCTCTTCCACAAACAGCAACGGATGCTGGATCAGTTGTTGATTTTATTTTTTTGTTAAGGCAAGGTATTCAGGGATATAGGCTAAGGGTAGGTATATGGAGTCAGGCCACAGATCAGCCATGATCTCATCGAATGGTGGAATAAGCTCAATGTGCCGAATGACCTACTCCCGTTCCTGTCTTCCCAGGTGATGAGATAACTTTTTATGACAATGGAATATAATGTCATGCTCACACCGACTGGCAGCAGCTTTCTAAATCACTCTCGTTGGATTTATGAATTGAATTTAAGTTCCATCAGCTGTTGTGTGGGATTCAAACTCACAATTGCACAGCGTTAATAGGGGCCTCATGGAGTACTAGTCCAGTAACATTCCCACTCCATCACCAACAAGTTTGGCTGGCACGGTGGCTCAGTAGTTAGCACTGCTGCCTCACCGCGCCAGGGACCGCGTTCAATTCCACCCTCAGGCAACTGTCTGTGTGGAGTTTGCACATTCTCCCCGTGTCTGCGTGGGCTTCCTCCCACAGTCCAAAGATGTGCAGGCTAGGTGGATTGGCCATGCCAAATTTCCCGTGGTGTCCAGGAATGTGCAGGTTGCATGGATTAGCCATGGGAAATACAGGGTTACAGGGAGAGGTTAGGGGGTGGGTCTGGCTGGGATGCTCTTCGGAGGGTTGGTGAGGACTCATTGGGCCGAATGGCCTGTTTCCACACTGTAGGGATTCTATGATCTATGTTGTGCTTAAAATGCTGTGCAACAAAAACATGGCTACATTTTACCCACAGAATCCCTACAGTGTGAAAGCAGGCCATTCGGCCCATTAAGTCCACATCAACCCTTCGAACAGAATCTCACCCATAGCCACCCCCATCCTATCCCTATAACCCTGCATTTCCCAGGCTAATCCACACAGCCTGCACATCCCTGAACACCACAGGCAACTTAGCATGGCCAACCCACCTCGCCTGCACAGAGGAAGCCCACGCAGACACGGGGGAGAATGTGCAAACTCCACACAGACAGTCGCCCGAGGGTGGAATCGAACCCGGGTCCTTGGCGCTGTGAGGCAGCAGTGCTAACCACCGAGACACTGTGCCACCCCATGCAGATGAATTTCTGTCTTCTACTATCTTACCCAAAGGTGTCAGCTCAGAAAGGGTACAATCTCTTTGTACTCGAGGACAATATTGGAACTGTACGGGTTTCCTGTACCTCACTGGAAAAACTTACTTCTTATTGAAATACATTGAATTCTCTCTTCTTTTTGTAAACCCAATGGGTAGAATTTTCAGGTCGATGTTATGTTTCCGAGCTCTGTTCTTCATAATGTTTAGCTGCAGAGGTAGAGACACCATCAGTAAAACATGGGAGAATATTCAAGGGAATAAGTCACAGTAAAGCTGACACACTGCTCAAGGCGAAGATTAATGCACTGACTTCTGAAACTCTTAAGCTTGCTTTCAAAATCCTCCAGCTCCTTCCACACGCACTGTGCCCAAATACTACTCTGATAACTCTGCACCTCCTCAATTTCAGTTTTTACACATGATATGAAAGTTGAGAGCACTGTGAACTGAGAGGTGTACAGCTTAGAACGGGGCTTCCCCATGTGCGGGTCAGGATCCCAGGTGCGGGTTGATCGTGGTGTTACAAGTTTTAACATTTGTATTGGCTGCCACTGAGCTGTCTCCCCGGTCTCTCCCCATCTCCTGTCACTGGTTAAAAATGTGGGGTCACCCTTTAAGACAGAGATGAGACAAATCTTTTCTTTTGCAAGGTGGTGAGCCTTTGGGGTGCTCCCCTTGAAAAGGCAGTGGAACCATGGTCTTACTGTAACTGTGCAAGGTGCCGGGGAGGATAACATCTGGAGTACTGTGAGCAGTTTTGGTTCCCTTATTTAAGGAAAGATAGCCTTTCAGCAGAGGCTGCTGAGAAAAGGTTCATTTAGATGATCCCTGGTATGGAGGGATTGTCTTATGAGCAAAGGCTAAACAGTTTGGGGCTCTATTCACTGGAGTTTAGAAGAATGGGAGGTGATCTCATTGAAACACATCAGATTCTGAAGGGGTTTGACAGGGTCAATGCTGAGAGGATGTTTCCCCTCATGGGAGAGTCTAGGACCAGAGGGCATAGTCTCAGAATAAAGGGGCACCAATTTAAGACTGAGATGAGGAGGAATTTGTCTCCCAGAGGGTTGAGTGTCTTTGGAACTCTTTGCCACAGAAAGCTGTGGGGGCAGAGTCCTTATGTATATTTATTGCTGAGATAGATAGATTCTTGATCAGTCAGGGAATCAAGGGTTTCAGGGATAACGCAGAAAAGTGGAGTGAGGAGTGTTGGATCAGCCCTGATCCTATTGAATGAAAGAGCAGGCTCGAGGGCTGACTGGCCTACACCTGCTTCTATTACTTATTGTCTTACGGGGTTTTCAGTGCAGAACATCATCAACAAAGCCATTAAAAGTGGTTAAAATGATTATTTCAACTGAAAAAATGTTACCTTAATTCAAAAAATGACACCCCCTCTTCATAAGGAAATCAGAAGACAATAAAAGCAAAATACTGCTGATGGTGGAAATCTGAAACAAAAACAGGGAACGCTGGAGAAACTCAGCAGGTCTGGCAGCTTCTGCGGTGAGAGAGAAACAGAGTTAACTGACTCTTCCTCAGAACAGAATGGGATACAATCTGCTTGAACCACATTGGGAGGTAGCAGCCACTTTGAATGAAGTAAAACGCCGAAGAAAAGCCCCTGAGTTTTTTTTTTACCAAGATTGGAACGTACAGATTTGCTGGTTGTCGGCCGGTGAACGGTGTGGTCACGATTTGCGATGTCTGCCAACCTTCCAATGTCCTCCAGAAACCTATAATCTAAATCAGCAAGACCACATCAGCTTGCAGCAGGCACTACCATAGGGCTTTGTAAAAACCCACCCAACCACCTGATGGATAGGCTCTTACCACTGAGGAGGTGCATCTCGTTAAAGTGACTGAGGGGTGTAAAGGCTGTTTTATCCCGGACTCCGTTACACCCATCCACAGCTTTGTGCTTCTTCACACAGGGTAAGCTGCAAAATGAAACAACACAAAAATTATTCCAAGTGTGGAAAGGACTGGCATCTTTTCCAGCCCCTTGCCAATCACACACTGCCCAGGAACCACCCACTTGTGGGGCAAGAGGCCCAACTGTAGACAGGTCGCTCACCACCAACAAGTATCTCCCATCCTTTGTGTGTCGAAGTGCTTCCTAACATCTCTCCTGAGCAACCTGGCCCTAATTCTCAGACTATGCCCCTAGTTCTAGAATTCCCAACCAGTGGAAACAGTTTATCTTTATCTACCCGGTCTTTTCCTGTTAATATTTTGAAGATTTTGATCAGATCACCCCTTACCCTTCTACAGTCCAGAGAATACAGGCCTCAATTGTTAAATCAGACCAGTGAGAATCATATTAGGTGACAGATCAGACTTGAGGGGACCTATTTATGTGTTGATTTTACTATAGCTTTCTAAACACTTTTGTTTTAATCATTCTCAGGATGTGGGCATCACTAGCTAGGTAGCATTTATTGCCCATCCTTAATTGCCCAGAGGGTAGTTTAAGAGGAATCCACATTGCTGTGGGTCTGGAGTCACACACTGGGTAATGTAGGCAGTTTCCTTCCCATTAGTGAATGAGATGGGTTTTTCTGACAATTGACAACTGTTTCTTGGTTTGTTTGGCTTAATTCCAGACTTTCTTTTTTTCAATGAATTCAAATTCCACTGTCTCTCATGGTGGGATTCAAATCCAGGGCCCCAGACAATAAGGTGGGTCTCTGCATTAATAGTCTGGTGAATATACCATTGGCACCCCTTCACAGTACTCCGGCTGTAGTTAAATCTATGTTTCATTAAATTGACCATAACTTGGTCTTGTACCTGCAAGAATAGGTCAGACAGCGAGGACATTTGTATTTTGCTTCTGCACCACCACACATTTCACACCTGCATGGAGACAAAGGCAAGAGCTTTAAATTGGGAATTCCAGAATTCTACACAAACTTCAGCGCATTCCCACACCCACAAAATATAATGACCGGGGCCAGGTTTGTGGCTGTGTAGACGACCGAGCAGGGGTACCTGCCAGGAACTTACCCCCCCGCATTGTGTAAATGGTCTCTCCCCATCAGAGATGGCCACTGGGACTCTAACAATCAACTCACCTTCCACAGCGATCTTAATCACTTCCTCAGTGGGGGCTGGATCTTCAGCTGCCTGTGCCCAATGTCCTGGAATTCATTCCCTCAACCTCTTAGACTCTCCCCATCTCTCTCTCCCCCCACCTATTCCCTTATCTACCTCTGTGTAGATGACACAAAGATAGGTGGAGGGGCAGGTAGTGTTGAGGCTGCAGAAGGACTTGGAGAGGCTAGGTGGATGGCCAAAGAAGTGGCAGACAGAATACAATGTGGGAAACGTGTGAGATCATGCACTTTGGCAGGAAGAACAGAGGTGTAGGCTAGTTTCTAAATGGGGAAAGGCTTCAGAAATCTGAAACACAAAGGTACCCTGGAGTCCTAGTTCAGGATTCTCTTAAAGCTAACACACAGCTTCAGTTGGCAGTTAGGAAGGCAAATGCAATGTTGGCATTCATTTCAAGAGGGCTGGAATACAACAGCAGAGATGTGCTGCTGAGTTTGTAAAAGGCTCTGGTCAGACCGCATTTGGAATAGTGTGAGCAGTTTTGGGCCCCGTATCTAAGGAAGGACATGCTGGCCTTGGAGGGCTCCAAAGGAGGTTTACAAGAATTACCTTGGGGATGAAGGGCTTGTCATAGGAGGAGTGGTTGAGGACTCTGGGTCTATAGGGTGTTTAGATGGAAGAGGGGGGGTTCCGATTACAACTTACAGAATACCGAGAGACCTGGATAGAGTGGACGTGGGGAAGATGTTTCCACTAGCACAAGAGACTACAGTCATACAACACGGAAACAGACCCTTTGGTCCAACCAGTTCATGCTGACTATAATCCCAAACTAAACTAGTGCCACCTGCCTGCGCTTGGCCCATATCCCTCCAAACATTTCTTATTCACGTACTTATCCAAACTCCTCACAGGAGTTCCGAGGAAGGGTCACCGGACCCGAAAAAATCAAAGTTATGATTTTTTCTTCACAGATGCTGCCAGACCTGCTGAGCTTTTCCAGCAACTTCTGTTTTGGTTCCTGATTTGCAGCATGCGCAGTTCTTTTGGTTTTTATTTAAAATGCCAGGAATAGGTGCGGATATAATCAGGAAAGCTAATATAGTGCTCACTTTATATCTACAGGGCTGGAGTACAAGGATGTAGAAGTTATGCTGCAGTTATACAAAACCCTGGGTAGACCCTACTCAGACAACTGTAGACAGATGTGTGCACCACACCTTAGGAAGGATATATTGGCCTTGGAGGGACTAAAACATAGGTTTATAAGAATGATATCTGGATTTCAAGGGTTAAGTTATTAGGAGAGATTACACAGAGGAACAAAAAAAAAAAAGAGGTACAACAGAAGAACAGGCCCTTCGGCCCTCCAAACCTGCGCTGATCATCATGCCCTAACTAACCTAAAAAAAAACAAACCTTCTGCCCTTATTTGATCCATATCCCTCTATTCCCTCCCTATTCATGTAACCATTCAGGTGCCTCTTCAATGTTGCCAATGTGTCCGCTTCCACCACCTCCTTTAGCAGTGCATTCCAGGCTCCTACCACTCTCTGTATGAGAAACTTCCCTCGCACATCTCCCTTAAACTTTTCCCCCTCTCACCTTGAACTTGCCCCCTTGTAATTGAAACCTGCAAAAAAGCCTTTGACTATCCACCCTACCTCCACCTCTCATAATTTTGTAGACATCTATCGGGTCTTCTCTCAGCCGGTCTTTCCAGTGAAAACAATCCTAGTCTTTTTAACCTTTCTTCATAGCCACTGGCCTTGAGACTGGGCAACATCCTAGTGAACCTTCTCTGCACTCTCTCCAAAGCCACACTAGCTTAAACCCTCCTGAAGAGCTCTAGCAAACCTCCCACCCCAGGATATTGGTGCCCCTCCAGTTCAGGTGCAACCCGTCCTTCTTGTACAGGTCCCACCTTCCCCAGACGACATCCCAATGATCCATATATCGAAAGCCTGTTTTCTCTAGAATGTAGAAAGTTAAGAGGGGGAATCTGATCGAAGTCTTCATGATATTAACTGGAAAAGACAAGGTCAATAAAGATTAACTATTTCCACTGGTTAGGGATTTCAGAATGAGTGGTATAGTCTGAGAATTAGGGTCAGATTGTTCAGGAGAGATGTTAGGAAGCACTTCTACACACAAAGGGTGGGAAAGGTTTGGAACTCTCTTCCACAAAAAGCAGATGCTGCATCAGCCTACTCCCGATCCTACACCACTGAAACATACATTAAGGGTTTGTGCAAGAACATGTTTGACCCTGGTCAGTTATTTTGAACTGAGATGAAGAGTAATTTCTTCAGTTGAAGTGAAGGACTGTGAAAACTTAATCATCGAATACATTCAAGACGGTGATCAACAGACATTGTAAACTGAAGGGATGAAATGTTTGCAGGAGACTGCAGCAAAGTGTAGTTATTGGGAGCTGGTCAGTTATCTGATTGTATTAAGCAGGGAGTGCCTCAGAGGGTCAGGAGTCTATTTCTGCACGAGGAGATATTCTGAAGATGACTTATCAATTTTCTGAAGAAGGGTCCAGACCTGAAACATCAGCTTTCCTGCTCCTCTGATGCTGCTTGGCCTGCTGTGTTCATCCAGCTCTACACCTTATTACCTCACCCAAGTCAAAATGTCAACTCTGTCTCTCTGTAGACACTGCAAGACCTGCTGAATTTTTCACCACTTTGTTTTTATTTCAGGACAAACAACCAAATGTTTGGCCAAAAAGGTGGATCTTAAGCGTGGTCTAAAGAGAGAGAGCGAGAGAGACAGAGACAGAGACAGGCAGCGAGAGAGATAGACAGAGAGAGAAAGACAAGTGGAGAGGTTTAAGAAAAGAAACTTGGAGCTTGGGATCCAGGCAGCTGAAGGCACAGCCACCATTAGTGGAGCAGTAGAAACGGGGATGAGAAAGAGACTAGACTTCATGAGGGGAAGAAATTGCGCAGAATTGTGAAGCTGTGGGAGATTACAATGATACTGAGGGGTAAGGCTGTGGACTGTGAGAATACTCAGGACTGGCTATAATCCCTCAGCCAAGCTAATATAACGCCAAAACAATCATTACATTTTTGGTTGCATTTGAGACTTTTCCATGCCCCTAGACTGGAGGCTGGTGGATAGTGGCATTCGCGAGTGTCAGATCAATGATTTCAGTTATTGATTGTATAGAAAATTACATATTGCTGAAATAAAGACATGTTTTGTTGTTGCTTTTTATCTTATAACCATCAGGACAATTTGTAAGGAACACCGAAGTAAAGGCCAAACAACATTCATACGATATGTGAGGTGAGTATTGATTGTCTTGCAAATGGATGCTGTTTGGTACAGGTGTTGCCATGGCAAATGCACCAGTTAATGAGGACTGACAGTTAACTACAATACTAGTTTTGAATCACATTTAAAAATAACTTGGCTATCGAGACACAAAATTACAACATTTGCCAATGATACCAAACTATGAGGACAGGCAAACAGTAAGGAAGGTGAAATTCTTCGTCAGCAGTATAGCAGGGAGCCCAGAACCAAGAGTCATGGTCTCAGGATACATGGGAGAAAGGAGGAACAGGGGATCAGCTATCATCATACTGAATGGTGGAGCAACCTCAAAGGGCTGCATGGCATACTCCTGTTTGTATGTTTCTAAATCACACTTCAATAGGCTGCAAGTTCCCCTCTGAGCCCCACACCCCTCACTTGGGAATGTATAGCCGTACCTTCACCGCTATTGGGTCAACAACCTGGAACTCCCTCCCTAATGGCAGTCTGGGCGCCCCTGCAAACCAAGGACTGTAGCGGATGAAGCAAGGGGCTCAGCAACCATCTTCTCCAGAGCAATTAGTAAGGGCCTAGCCAATGATGTCCCACATCCTACAAAAGGAGAAAAGCAAACTGGGCAAAGAACAAATTGATAGAAGTGTGAGGTGATTGAGTTTGGCAGGAGGATGGGAAGTGCTAAAGGCACAGCGTGAAAGAGACTGCAGGGAAAGAGACTATAACATATAGAAGCAGAATTAGGCCATTCAGCCCATTGAGTCTGCTCTGCCATTGGATCATGGTTGATATGTTTCTTAACCCCATTCTCCTGCCTTCACTACCAGTGGAAACATCTTCTCCACATCCACTTTATCCAGGCCTCACAGTATTCTACTAGGTTCAATCAGATATCCCTCTCCCGTCTTTCTAAACTCCACTGAGGACAAACACAGAGTCCTCAACTGCTCCTCATGTGACAAGTCTTTCATCCCCTGGATCATTTTTGTGAACCTCCTCTGGCCCCCCTACAACACCAGCATGTCCTTCCTTAGGTATAGAGTCCAATCTGGCCCACAAGAGGGATCTGGAGGCTCCTGTGTATCCAGCTTTGAGGGTGGGAACAGGTCTTGACAGAGTGATTAGTAAAGATAATGGGATCCTGGACTTCACAAGTGGACACTTTTGAGGACAAAAGCAGGCATCTTTTGCTGAATCTGTGTAAAACCAGAACAATAAAGGATATTCTATTCTATAGGCCACAAATGGAACTTGTGTTCATACCTTAGGAAGGATCCATTCGCCTTAGAGAGAAGCGAGGGGCTGAATGGACTCTTGTGTACCATCATGCCTCTGATCATTGATTTTGAGAGCCCAAACTCTGCTTGGAGAAGCTGTGTGGACTGGCAGTGGGTCTCCCTGCATCTTTGGTACTGACCCCATCATGGCACATCAGGCCATTGCATCCACTACGGTTACTGATCTCATTTCATCCGGTGATCTCTCCCACTCCGCTTCCAAGCTAATAGTCCCCCAACCCCGCACAGCTCATTTCTACCTCCTGCCAAAAATCCACAAACAGGACTGTCCAGGCAGACCCATTGTTTCAGCCTGCTCCTGCCCCACAGAACTCATCCCTTCCTACCTTGACTCAGTCTTCTCCCCGCTAGTCCAATACATCCATAATTCATCTGATGCCTTACGCCAGTTTCAAAACTTCCAGTTTACTGGCTCCAGCCACCTCCTCTTTACCATGGACGTGTAAACCCTTTACAAGTCCATTCCCCACCGGGAAGGGCTTAGGGCTCTCCGCTTCTTCCTGGAGCAAAGACCTGAACCGTCCCCACCCACCACCACCCTCCTCCGCTTGGCCGAGCTCATCCTCACCCTCAACAACTTCTCTTTTAACTCCTCTCATTTTCTTCAGGTAAGAGGAGTTGCCATGGGTACCTACATGTGCTCCAGTTATGCCTGTCTCTTCATGGGGTACGTGGAACATTCCTTGTTCCAGTCCTATTCCAGGCCCCACCCACAACTCTTTCTCCAATACATCGATGATATCATCGGTGCTGCTTCCCTCTCTCGTCTGGAATTGGAAAACTTCAATTTCGCCTCCAATTTCCACCCTGCCCTCACTTTCACTTGGTCTATCTCTGACTCCTCCCTTCCCTTCCTCGACATTTCTGTTTCCATTTCTGGGGACAGACTGGCCACTAATATCCATTACAAACCCACTGACTCCCACAGCTACCTGGACTATACATCCTCACACCCTGCTTCCTGTAAAGACCCTATCCCATTCTCTCAGTTCCTCCATCTCTGTTGCATATGTTCAGATGAGGCCAACTTCGAGAAGGGAGCCTCTGAAATGTCCACCTTCCTCCTCAACCGAGGATTCCACAGCTCCATTGTCGACAGGGCCCTCAAGCAGGTCCGACCCATCTCCCGCACTTTCGCCCTCACCCTTCTCTTCCCTCCCGCAACAACGATAGGGTTCCCCTTATCCTCACCGACCATCCCACCAGCATCCACATCCAGAAGATCATCAGACGCCATTTCTGCCACCTCCAGCAAGATGCCGTCACAGACACATATTCCCCTCCCCTCCCTTGTCCACCTTCTGCAGGGATCATTCCCTCCGGGACACCCTGGTCCATACTTCCTTCACCCCCAACACCTCCCCACAGCCCTATGGCACCTTCCCCTGTAACCGGCGAAGGTGCAACACCTGCCCATTTATCTCCTCCCTCCCCAGTATCCAAGGGCCCAAACATACCTTCCAGGTGAAGCAACACTTCACCTGCACTTCCCAGAATCTAGTCTACAGCATTCGCTGCTTACAATGTGGTCGCTACATTGGGGAAATGAAGCTTGGTGACTGCTTCACAGGACATCTATGTTCCACTTGCCAAAAAAGACCCTGAACTACCTGTTGCCTGCCACTTCAATGCACCACCTTGCTCCCTGGCCAACATCTCTGTCTCTGGCTCGTTGCAGTGTTCCAGTGAAGCCCAGCTCAAGCTGGAGGAACAAAACCTCATTTTCCACTTGGGGACCCTACAGCCCTCCGGACTCAATATCAAGTTCAATAATTTTAAGGCCTAACCCGTTACCCCACACACCAGGCCTTGTTACCACATAGCCTGGCAATACACACCCCCTGTTGTTAGTCACTAACAGTCCCCATTAAC